TTGTTTTGTAAATAAATTTGTTTATGTCACTGTTTTAGATTCCACATATAAGTGATATCATATGATATTTATCTTTCTCTGACTTACTTCACATACTATGATAACCTCTAGGTCCAGCCCCATATTCATTTTTCTCCATTGTATATCCTTGCCTTCTTTCCCATATTCATTTTTAATATGACTATGATAACTATAAAACTTTTCACAGAGAAATGTCAGAACACAACAAAGTTATTCCTCCCCAGCCAAGCCTGGAAGACACCCCAAAAGAGATGTCCAGAGTCCAAACAAATTTTTTACCACCATCCTTTCTCAATCAAGTGATTTCAGATTATTTAATGCACAGAAGCCTCCGTAGTGCCTGATGAACCTCCTTATTCCTCAGGGTGTAAATCACAGGATTGAAGAGAGGAGTGACCACAGTGTAGAGCAGGGCAAAGACCTTGGAGAGGAGCTGGGAGTGGACAGCAGAGGGTGCAATGTACAACACCATGAGCGTTCCATAGAATGTGGACACTACAGCTAGGTGGGAGGAGCACGTGGAGAAAGCCTTTCGTCTGCTGGCCCCAGCAGGAACTCTCAGCACAGCCAGCACGATGCGGGCATAAGATGTCAGGGTCAGCCCAAAGGGAACAGTGAGGCAGACCACAGAGAGAATGAATGTTGTCATCTGGGCTGCACTGGGATCTGAGCAGGCCAGGCTCATCAAAGGCATAAAGTCACAGTAAAAGTGGTCAATGTGGTTGAGGCCACAGAATCTCAATTGAGCCATTAGGGCCACAACCAGTCCATCTACCATGAAGCCCGAGAGCCAGGCTACGACCACCAGCCCCAAGCACCATTTGGGCCCCATCAGGAGTGGGTAGTGGAGTGGGTAGCAGATTGCCAGGTAGCGATCATATGCCATGACAGCCAGCAGGAAGCATTCAGCAGTGGCTAGAGAACCAAAGATAAAAGAACTGGAGCAAGCAGCCAGCCACCGAGATGGCTGCCTCCTGCAGGAAGCCTTCCAACATTTTTGGCACCATTGTGGAAGTATAGAGGATCTCCAGGAAGGACAGATTAGCCAGGAAGAAATACATGGGTGTGTGGAGCCTCTCAGAGCTAACCACTGCCACAATGATTAGCATGTTCCCTGCAATGACGGAGGCGTAGATGAGCATGAACACAATAAAGAAAGGGAGACTCAGTTCAGCTACGCCATAGAAACCAAGAAGGACAAACTCAGTAATAGTCTGGTTGCCAATGGAGACAATTTCCATGAGGATCATCCAAGTTTCTGCTTGGCAGTGATTAAGGGAGAAATTTTAGTGCATCTTTGTATCTTCTGCACCAAGCCTGAGGTAAGTAGAGCTACAATGAAAAAAATAAAAGTGAGTCTCCAAAACAAGAATCATCTACACAAGTCCTCATCTGTCCCCCTTCTTAGTTGCTTACACCTTTTCCAACTCCTGTCCTTCCCTGCATTCCTTAATTGTGCATATTCTTGAAGCCCCAAGAGAATTTATTCGAACTCATCATTTCAGTCTTCAGAGTCCTTTAACCTATTAACTCAATATAATATATATAACATTTTTATGATACAATAAATTCTATCACCTTAATCTGTACAACCAGCCATAGAGCCTTCCTCATAAGCAACAATGTAATACCCTCACAACGCCTGCGAGGCATGTCCTATCTTCAGCTCAGAATCGGCATGATCAACAACAAACAACTTTATCTTCCTTGATCACAACCAGCTCCACTGTGAGCGGTTTGAAAACTCCGCCTGATACCCAAGCTTGCTATATTATAGTCATTTTTATCTTAGTACTATCTCTCATTCCTCATACCCCAATCCATGAAATCTTATCAGTCATTGCTTGGAAAATGCCTATATATTCCCTCTTCACTGTCCTACCATTAATCTCACAACCTCTTTACAACTATCTTAGCACACTTGCCCTCTGTGTAGCCTTCTAGTCTCTAGATTGATTGTCCTCTCCCATCTCAAAATAATCTTCTTTAAATACTAGTTTCATCAAATCATTCAAGCTTTTGTAGTGCAAATGTGATAAATTATAACATTGAGAAAAGTGTAGATGTTGTGGGAGCAGAGAGATCAAACACAGACTGGGAGAGGAGGAGGGTGTGAGACTAGAGGTCAGAGAAGGCTCCCTGAAGAAAGTAGTTGTAAGCTGTTTTGGAGGACAGATAAGAGTTGGCCAGGCAAAGGACAGGCATATAAGCATAGCATTCCAGGCAGGAGAGACATAAGTGAAAGCAAAGATGTGTAATTGAGTTCTTGAAGAGCTAAAAAATGGATCTGTGTACCTGCAAGGAAGATCTCATATGCTATCTGAAGGGACGTATGTGTTTTATATTAAAAACAATGAGGATACGTTAAATGATTGGAAGCAGAGGGGAAAGGTACAGGAAAAATGCAGATTTTCCTGTGTGTCTCTGTGTGTGTGTGTGTGTGTGTGTAAAATAAAAAATCTGCTAGCAGAATTTGTGAAAATATGGTTGCCATCTCTTTGGGAGTGTTTTGTTTTGTTTTGTTTCCTTTAAGTGGAGGTACTGAACCCAGGGCCTCATCCATGCTAAGCACACACTCTACTGCTGAACTGTATCTATTTCCACTCTTGGGAGTGTTTTAAAGGTTCACTGATATGAAAACTATTTTCAAGTTATACCATAACCCTGGCGTTTCAGACTACCACATTCCCCTCTATTATTGAAAGGACTGGGGAAGTGGGGAGAAAGAGGAAGGTAAAGAGGAGGTAGTAGGATGTGAGTATTGTAGAGAAATGGGGAAGGCATTGCAACAGCAGGGTTAAGTGGGTAAGAGGCTATCATTCCCTTACAAGCAGAGAAGACCATGGAATAGGGGAAGAAGCTGAATTTCAAATTGGAAGACTCCAAGGAATGCAGGACGAGTTTGAAATCAAGACAAAATTTACTGTACTATCTGGTAGGAAAATGAAAACAGTGCAAAATATGTGTCTTTTTTTCTGAAAAACAACCAATCACAGACTCAACCCTATAAAGGTGAAAGTTATAGCATGGATCCCTCCAAGTTATCATCATTTCTGGAAAAGAAATTCAAAGTACATTCCAAGAAAAAAATATTTGAAGAAATATAGACCAAACTAACCAATTTTAATTTAGCTTTGAAAAATGAGGACAAACTTATTCTCAATATGTTTTGCAATGTCTGCTAAGCTGGTTCTCTTTATAAACAGGAAACAATTGTAAATAAATTCTGGTTTAGTTTGAATTTTTCATCTGCTCTCTTCCAGGCTCTTTGGCATTTACTCTAAAATAAGGCAGAAATACATACTAAAGAAAATTGTAAAGAAAACAACATGAGTTTAAGTGTATTCCACAAGTTTTGTTATCCCACAAAAAAAGTAGGAGGATAAATTCCCACCATGAAAATAAAAACGGTATGAGGATGTCCTACTCCATAATATACTCCAGCTGAAACTGTTCTCGTGAGTATCTGCTGCTCTTCGTCTCCAGGAGAGATGAGATAAAGGAAATAAGCTGCGATGCAGCCAGAAGGACTCAAATCCTACTTCTTACCTATTCAGTGGGAGACGCTGCAGCACTACGATTCCGGAGGAAGACGGCAGCATTTCCTTAAATGTGTTTGAAAAAGAGACTTTTTGCCTCTCTGGCTTAGATGAAACGTGTTACTGATCAGAGGAGAAAACTCCATACAGAACAATTCTTTAGCTTCTTTTCAAGGATCTATGAACTAAGCTGTGAACCATTATACAAAAATAGGAAACTCACCTGAAATAGCAATACTAAAGGAAAAAAAAAAACCTCAAGAGCAGAAGTCTTCAGAATGCTGAGGCTTCCCACCTTCAACTCCTCCCTCCTTGAGCTCAATCTGAAATAATGTAGGACTTTGATTAGAAATGTCGCATGCATCACCCTCCACTCCCCAGAGCAATTCTCTCCTCCACTCTCCATCACCTTTTCTAGCTCCCAGACTCTTCTGGCTTTTCCTTGTAAGTCCTTCTCTTTATCACAAAGGAGGGATGACAATTGCCAAGAGGAGAGAGGCCCCTGAGAACCAATTACTGATTGACTGGAAAGCAGCCTTAAATGAAAAAGGAATATCAGCCCCCTGAGAAAGCTTTTTCCAGACGAGGTTCCTGAACAGTTGGCTTGACCAAAAATAGGGCAGAAACCAAGAGTCATATGGGAACCCACCTTTCCATCCCCATGAAGGCTAATACTCTCCACCAAGCATCTAATCCCCCAATTTCCAGTCTCTTCCCCAGAACTCATCACAAAATTCTCCTAAGTTCTCTGCAGCATCCCTAAACCACGCCCACCACTAGTGGTCCTCCCAGAAGACTGCTCCAAACCCTCACTCCCTACCCTCCAGCTTTGGGACTCCCCCACCATCCCAGAAAACTATTTCAATTGAGACAGCCCTTACTACGAGAATTTTATAGAGATTATCAAAGTCTTGCCAACGTTGCGCCTGCTTTAATGGGAAGGAACAGCCTCTTCCATTTTTTTTTATTTCTTATTCTTTGTTTTACCCATTTGCATTTGGATCAATTTTCTCATTAATCACAGGATTTATTTCTGTATTTGGTAAAACATTGTCCATTGTTCAATTAGATATAAGCTCCTTTAGCGAACCGCAGCTTAAAGGAAAAATAACACTTCAAACAGTCCTCCACACCCGGGCACCAGGAGCACGGACTTTGACAAACCTGAACTCAGTCACGACTCTACCTTACTCCCAATAAAACACAAATTTATGAAGGGTCTCATTGTCAAGGTCTGAACTGGGGGACATACCATGTCTTGGGTATTTTATACTCTTCCATCATTTCACATATGCTGTTTAATTTTACTTCCCACAGTAATTTTTGTGGTTGATGTAAAAGACCAGATGATAGAATAAAGCTGAAGAGGAAACCACATAACTGAGGACATCTCAAGATCTTCATATGTCTTCTCCTTGCCCGGGTGAGCCACCTGGCTGAATGGAGAGAGCCAGCCGCACACTGGTCACTGAATTTGTCTTCGTGAGATTTTCCAACTCTCCAGGGGTCCAGCTGCTCATTTTCTCCCTCTTCCTCCTGATCCACCTCTCATCTCTGGTGGGCAGTGCACTCATTGTGCACATTGTGGCTGTGGATGGGCGCCTCCACACTCCCATGTACCTCTTTATCTGCAATCTCTCCTTAGTAGAGCTCTGGTACACCACGGTGACTGTGCCCAAAATGCCGGCCAGTTCTCTAAATTCCCAAGGGGTCATCTCAGGTCTCAACCACTTCAGCCAGTACTACTTCTTCTCTTTGGCCCCCACAGAGCTCTTCATTCTCCCCACCATGGCCTTTGACTGTGACACTGCCATCTGCCAACCATTCCTCTACCCACTGCTGCTCAGCCCTCAAACTTGGGGTTCTCTGGCTGGGTCTGCTGGCTTGTGGGATTCCTCTGGCCCATGTTTCCCTCATTCCTCCTTACACAAATCTCCTTCTGCAGCCCCAACCAGATCAACTGACGCCAATCAGGCTTTCCGCCTTTCTTGCACAGACACGTATGCCATCCAAACAGTGGGCTATACTTCTAGCACTGTCACTATCCTAGAGGCCCTGGTCTTTATCATGGCTTCCTATGCCCTAATCCTGACCACAATTCCAGCCATGGCCTCAGCCGCTGCTCGACGGAAGCCCTTTTATATGTGCACAGCCCACCATTCTGTGGTCACCATCAACTTCAGTACTCTGGTATTCACATATGTCCACCCCACAGTAAAGTATGCGTCAAATGTCCACAAGATTGTGGCTATCTTCTACTCAGTCATCACCCCACTTCTCAGTCCTCTCATCTATACACTCCGTAACAAGGATGTCAAGGAAGCTGTGAAGGTGTTGGTGTCCCAGATCTAAAAAGTGCCTCCCAAACAGGCAGGCAAAGTGAGTGTGCCACAGAAATCAGAGAAAGCAAAGCTGGTGGAATATCCAACAGAATATAACCCCTAACCATTGACTTTCACCTGTGCAATGTACCTTTTTTAATCATTAAGTTTGTATAGTTGCTTTTTGTGAGTTATCTGTGGCACATTTTAAGTGAGAGTTTCTCCTCCTGCCGCTCACTGTTTCTATTAGCTGTCTGTTCCTTCAATTGCTCAGCTTCTCCAGAAAAGCAGATAATCTCATGTCAATATAAGTGCAGAGAAATGGCACAGGCTTTGCGGTACACGCATCTGGGTTGGAAACCAGCTCCCCACTTGTCACCATCAGCTAAGTAAGCCAATGAGACTTCTGCAGAGATAACACCAAAGAACATCGAATCTTTTTTACTTTCCTCAGAGGGAAGTTCTGATGTTCAATTGACCTAATAACATGTAAAGCAATAAACAAGTGTTGGTTTATTTGATTACATTAGCCTCCATCAACCATAATTACAAAGATTAGACTTGACTTCTGCCAACATACTTATTTTTTCACAATGTAATTTTTTCTTATAATAAAGGCAAAGCATGTTCATTACAAAGAAGTCAAATATTAAAGAATTGCATGACATAAAAGTATGAATCTATCCTCTATTTTAATCAAGAAAATGATTTTCAGTAGTATCCATGATGGTGACTGCAGGACCTTCAACTAAAAGATTTTTTTTTTTATTCCTATGATTTAAAATATCTACCAGATAAGCCAAACATAGATTTTATTTAAAAAAAAAACTTTCATTTTTAAAACTTAGACTTCTGAAAGCCAGACATTCTACATGGTAGACAAGCTCCTTGTAATATGACCTCATTTCATGACGAAATCTTTTTAAATTCTATGAAAAGAGCCCTGCTGCTGATTGCTTCTGATGTTTATTTTGACTGTTGATTTTCCGTATTGTTGGAAACATCTGTTGCCAGAGCATGCCTATGTAAAGCACCATGAATGATAGGAATTTGGGAGCTTTCTTCATCACTAAAGTATCAAAACCAGATGTATCATTAAACATCGCAGAAGCTCCATCTGAGCAGAGTGTGAAGATTTCCTCTACAAAGTTTAGTTTTGAAAAAATCTTGTAGCATTTCCAAAATAACAATAGTTTTAATAGTTTACAAAGAAAACTTGTAAAGTAGAAATTCTCTGATAACATCAGCTGAGCAAAGCAAACAGCAAACAAAAAGAGAGAGAGAGAGAGAAAGCTGGTATACTAAGAGGTATCTGCAGTTTCACCCAGCTGTGCACGACAGAGGACCCAGAAGGCTGCTGTTCCTTGTTGATCTACTTTGAAATGTTTAAAGAAACATCAACAATTCCAGAACAAGTTTTACTTTAACAAAGAAATAGCTTCCAATTTTTCTCAGTTCCCTTCTGCAAACTACCCTTTTCCACGGCCCCTCCTTCAAAAATCCTCCAACTCAGGCTTCTTTGGTTTGGGAATTTGAAAGCAATTTTACCTTGTACGCTAAGAAAATGTTTTTATGATTTGGCAAGTCCTCGTTTGTAAGTGCCCCAGCTTTTTCGGGTGGATTCTTTTCACATAAAAAAAAATACAGAAGCCAAAATACATTTTCAGGATAAACATATCTGAGGTGCGCTTTCAATTCCCAAATCTAAGGGCCTTCAGGTTCATTCCAGTTTTCTTCCGTGAGTTTTTTTAGTTTTAGCTCTTATGTTTAGGTCTTTGATCCAATTTAACTCATTTTTAACTAACGAACTAACTTCTGTATGTGATTTAAGGCAAGGATCTAACTTCATTCTTTTGCATGTGATTATTCAGTCTTCCCAGAACCATTTATTAAAGATTATTATTTAGCCCATTTAAAGGCACTCTTGTCAAAACTCAGTTGACCATTGATGTGAATGTTTATTTCCAGGCTCTCAAATTAGAAATTAATTACAAGAAGAAAACTGGAAAATTCACAAATACGTGAAAATTACACAACATGCTGCTCAACAACCAGTGGGTCAAAGAAGAAATTAAAAGGGAAATTAAAAAAAATACTTTGAGACAAATAAAAATGAAAATACAGCTTACCAAAACTCATGGAAGGCAGTAAAAGCAGTTTTTTAAGAAGGAAGTTAATAGCAGTAAATGCCTCCATCAAGAAACAAGAAAGATCCCGAGTAAACAATCTAACTTTACATCTTGAGGAACTAGAAAAAAGAAGAACAACTGAAGCCAAAGTTAGTAGAAGAAAGGACATAACAAAGATCTTAGGAGGAATAAATGAAATAGACACTAAAAGACCATAGGAAAGATGGATGAAACTAAAAGCTGGGGTTTTTAAGATAAGCAAAATTGACAAACCTTAGCTAGAATCATTAAAAAAAGAGAGAGAGAGAGAGGGAAAGCAAATAAATAAAATTGGAAGCGAAAGGAGACATGTTATAACTGATACCACAGAAATACAAAGGATCTGAAGATACTATTATGAACAATAATATACCAAGAAATTGGACAACCTAGAAACAAAGGATAAATTTCTCAAAACATACAACATGTCAAAACTGAATCATAAAGAAATAGAAAATCTGAACAGGTCTATTACTAGTAAGGAGATTGAATCAGTCATAAAAACTCCCAACAAATAAGTCCAGGACAGGTAGCTTCACAGGTGAATTCTACCAAACATTTAAAGGAGAATTGATACTAATCTTTCTCATAGTCTAAAAAAATAAAAGAGGAGAAAACACTTCCAACTTCATTTTATGAGGCCAGCATTACTCTAACCAAAACCAGACAAAGAAACCACAAGAAAAGAAAATTACAAGCCAGTATCCCTGATAAACAGAGATGCTAAAGTCTCCAAGAAAATATTAGCAAAGTGAACTCAGCAATTAATTAAAACGATCATACACT